GTAAATTTGATCGTCTCTTATTTTTGGAGAGAGAGAGAGAGAGGCCAAAATGGCTTTGGGGGCAATGAGGGTTCTTTTTGTCTTTCGATAAATATGATCCTCTCTTAATTTTCAAACAAGACTTCGTTCTCTCTTCTTTCTTACCAAATTCTCTTATACCAAAAGCAAAAGGTACTACCTTTCTCATCTCTTTTCTCTCACATTTCTCTCTTATCGGTCTTTCCCTAATCAAATGAACCATTAGTTCAACTACCAAGTTAAATCATCACAAGTACCAAGCACGTTAGTCATATTTAGCAATCTCCAATTTAAATAAATAAATGACTAATATCTAGAACCAAGAGCTGCATAACAAGCATCACTCATTGCTTTGAGAAATAGGGGGTAGAAGATTTAAAACAAACGGGTAAAGTGGCAGATTCATACTTTTTGTTTTGGATGAGATAGAGGCCAGAGTTTTTACTTTATCCACCTGTAAGCCACTTACTACAATTCAGACACAAAATTCTCTCCGACGTACTAATAAAACATACCTTCGATGTGAAGCTTTCATCCCAAAAAGTATACTTTACACCGTCAAGTTTTCCAGTTTCAGAAAGGTCATCAATCAAAAGTTTAACTTGCACAGCCTAGCAAAGAGAACATGGATCAAATTTAACAAAAAAGATAACACACGCACACACAGAGAAGCAAAACAAACACAAACAAAACCTACATCTCGGTTATTTTTTTGGTGATCAAAAGGGTAGCCAAAAATGAATCCCTCCAAAGAAAGCTTAGATATCTGCACATGATCAAGGGAAGATGATTTAATGACAAAAACTATGTCACAAGGAATGAATGTAATAGAATACTATAATAAAGTGATTATCACAAATAAAATCATAAAAAATGGTTTCTTTAAGAATGACGCATAATGGACTCCTATGAACTCATAATATTAATGGGCAGTAATATTGCAGGTGTTCATGTTAGTACGCCAACATAAAAAAAAATGTTAGGTGCAAACGTAATATAAATATGTTGAATACGGAATATATAAGAACTTTGATAACATAAAATATATAACTATTTATGTTAGATGCAAATGTAATCTAAATATGAGTTATGAAATAATAAAAAAACTCTTAACTGCCTAGACCCAGATTCGGATCTGACCCAACCAAGGTCTGAAAAGGTACAGATCTAGTAACACACAGAGTAGAACAGGCTTCTGACCCATTGACAGACCTACCTATGGGACTACGCGTATATTTGTATCTTCGAAAAATGGTCTGGAAAAGGAAAAAAGATAACAACTGGTTTCCTTATGTTTGGTTTACCTCGGAAAATGAACAGGAAACTGCAATATGTTTCCATATGTTTGGTTCCCTTATGTTTTGTGAGCAACTTGTGACACAGGCAAAGAGCACAAAACAAGCAGTAAACTGAGATGTTCCAAGATATATAACAATATACCCCTATGCAGTACTCATGCATATACCTAACCACCATTTGTATATCTCAAAACAATAAACTTTTCTCTCAACTGTCCACGGATAATCAATTTCACCCTTAACCACCTAGAAAACAAGAATTGGCAGCTTAGAAGCATCCATTGCGACAATGCGAGTACGTACGAAGCATGCCTTAGTCAAGCAGCTTCACTTTTTTGAGCGACAATCAAAGTATCAAACGCCAAAATGTAGCGCTCGTATTAGACAAGGAAATGCTTACGAGAGACTGGAAATCCGTGGCCATCAAGTCAATATTCGACTTTTTGCGAACAAGCACACTGCAAACATCAAATTACTAACAACAAATAAATAAATGCTGAAAAGAGGGGAATGAGGAGCCAGTGGTTTTAACAAGAAGCCGCATTACCTCAAAGGCGATGCTAATGTATTGCCCATATCAGAAACAGCCAGACCGACATACTTATCTCCCACATCCAAACCAAGCAAACGCCCCCGCGACTTCACCAGTTCTTGAAACAAGGTTAATGGCTTCTTGTAGTTCATCTAAATGCCTCTGCGTTAAACTAAGGGTTCAAAATAAATGTATCTGTTCAGACGCTTGTTGGAAACATACAATTTCCTGCCCCAAAACCATGAGGCGATGGGTAGGTAGGTTACACACACTTGAAAAATAATTTGAATCCATATACGGCTCCAAAATCGATGGATGAAGGAGATAATGAGGGAATTTAGTACTTTTTTAATACGGAGTAATTAATGCATGAAGGAGTGGAACAATTGACAGAACAAACAATTCCTGTGAAAGAAATTTTTACTAACTCGTAGAAAAACCGAGAGGTGCAGTCAATCGGTGAGATCGCCGTCGCCGGCTTGCCGCCGATGTCTTCGTGTATAACTGGTCGCGGATGATTGGGAGAAGTATATGCGGTTTAGGGTATGTTTGGTTTATTAGTTAGGGGCTGTTTGGAAACTTCTGAATCTGTAAGTGCTGAACCAGTAAGAGGTCTGAACCATTAAGTGTTGAACCAGTAAGAGGTCTGAACCATTAAGAGCTAATATATTGCTTAACTATTCAGAGGCAAATGTCTGATCAATTCAGATAAAAGGTCTTAACCATTCAGACTCTGTATAATACTTAACCATTCAGAAGCAAATCTCTTAACCATTCATAGATCTAAACCATTAAGAGGCTGAAACAAACAGTCTGAACCATTAAGTGCTGAATCATTCAGACACCTGAACCATTAAGAGGCTGAAACAAACAGCCCCTTAGTGTATCCCAAACATCCCAACCTCCTCCATCACCACACAAAAAAGGTAAAAAAATCCAAAAAAAATTAAAACTAAAAATAAAATAAAATGAATGGTAGAAAGGGAGGGTGGTGCACATTTGGGGTATCCCTAAAAAATAATCAAACCATTTACTTCCACAACACGAAGAAAAACATAAAAAAACAACTGGAAAAAACAAATAAAAAACACCACAACACAGAAAAAACGAAAAGAAAGCAAGAACAAAAAATCGAAAAAAACGGAAAAAAAAGAACAAAAAAAACCAAAAAATCAGCGGCAGAAAAGAAATTAGAAAAAAAGTTAAAAATCGAAAATAGAACAGGGAAAAAAGCAATTTACAAGTCTAAGCAAAAAATAATAATAAACCAACAGTTGGAACTTGGAAGATGAAGGGAGAGGAAGAACTTGCGTCTGCGAAGGGATCTGCGATCGGATAACCGGAGTGGCTAGCGAGCAGCATCGCTTCGAGAAAAAATTAGAAGGGCAGCAGCGGAACAGAAATAATGACCTCCCTTCAATTTTATCTCCGAGAGTGTAAAATTAACCTAACCCTATCTCAAACCGAGTTGGTATATGGTATATTCGGATCTACCTAGAGATAGGTACATCCATGTAGTACTCATTCCGAAGTAAAGTAGTACTCATTCTTGCACAAGCATAATGGTTCATTTGAAAAACGTGGTACTCATTCTGAAATAATGTAGTACTCATTCAGAAATAACGTCATAATCACTTTCACAAATTTATTCAATATTCATTTACGAATAACATAATATTCATTCTAAAAGACAGTAGTACTTATTCCCATATAACCTAGTACTCAATCTTAAACAACCTACCATTCATATAATCATATGTCTAAGTGGAAGAAAAGATAAGGGCGGAAGACCATCGAGAACAACTGGGCCAGAATTGATCGGGAATCCAACGACCTCCATCTTCATCAACAACCTCCGCGGAAGACCTTCATCAACAACCTCCATCTTCACCGCCGTGCAACCTCTTTCATCGGGAATCGCAGATCGGGAAATCATCGTGCAGCTTCCTTCGTGGCCGATCCATTCAGCCGTTCTTGCAGCAGGTCCCCGTTCGCCCTAATTAATTGTCGGGCTGTACGATTCTTCCCGTATGGCTGGATGTACGGTATATTTTGCGATCTCAAACCAAACATAGTCTTAGCGTGCATACTGTTTAGCTTCATTTTTTTAAGACCTGGTCTAATTTGAATAGATCTGATCGAGATGAAATTAATTCAAACTCAAATTATTATCGAAATAATAATAAATTATTATTAATTATTATTATTAAGTATTATTAATACAATACAATAATAATTTTTATTATTAATGATTATTATTTTAATTATTATTATTATTATTATCATTGTTAGTTTAATAATTATATTTATAAATGTTATTATAATTAATTATTATTATTGTTACTAATATTTAGTGTTATGATTGTTGATGATGATTATCATTATTAATCAAAATGTATGATGATAATAATAATTTATTATTAATTATTTTTTAAATTCTTATTATTAGAATTCCAATAATAATTTTTATTATTAATAATTTTAATGGTAATTATTAATTATTATTACAATCATTTTTTAATAAATCTATGTATTACTTTTATTATCATTATTTTTTATTATTAAGTGTTGTGATTAATGACGATGATTATCATTATTAATTATAATTTATTTTTATAATAATAACAATAATGATAATTATTTTAGTAATTATATTTAATAATATTAACAATTTTTGTAATTTGTATTAATAATATTAAAATTATAATTTTTATTATTAGAAATTATTGTAATTATTACGAAGTAATTATTACTCCGTATTATTTTGATTATTAGTATTGTTTTAAATTTTTTAAATATTTTTTTGATCTGATCTTATATATTGTAATTATTAATTATTACTCCGTATTTCTTGGTATATTTTTTGTAATTTAATAAAATGATATAATCATGTAGTGATTTTTATTTATTGTTGGTTCTACCAAAATGTTTTGTTCACACATCATGTAGCAGTATTTATTTTTGCTGTTGATATCTTATCTCATTTTCCAGGTAAAACCAAACCCAACAAGTTAACTTTCCTTTCCCTAGCATTTCCCTGGATTCAAACACACCCTTCTAACCAAACAAGGAATTAGTGTTAAAACAATGCCCATAACTTAAATATAAAAAAACCCCAAAACAGAGAACAGTCTGAACTAAATTTGAATTAGTAAGAATTCTACAATAGCACTGGCCAGATCAAATACATCTCTGTATCACAATCCAAAGCTTTATTCCAAATGCCACGGGAAAGAGAGAAAAAAGAAAACCTTTATTCAGAGGTTGGAGAAAGGTTACAACACAATATTGGACACCAAACAGCCCCTTAAAGGTTCTCTTTTAGCCTCAATAAAGAAGCTCCTCGAAAACATGATCAACATTCTGTCCCCATTTCCCAAAGTACAAATCCAGGAGCTTCTCAGCCGGCGTGACACCTAAAGCAACATTGTACTTGGAACGGTGAGAGCGGCTAAAGAAAGAATTCGCTTGCCTAAGGCTATGTTTGGCAAAGCAAAATGACAGGTTGGCCATTAGATTTGATAAACTACCTGTCCGCTTATGCGTAATACAAGACAACATAACAAGATGTGTTTGAAATAGTTTCGAACTTTAAAAACATGTGTCAATAATGGAACTGTAATGAAAACCTCACGACTTTTTGTGAAAGGCTTCATTCAAGAAAAAACCAATAATTGGCCTATCATCTAGTTTATCGGGCACGAAACATAGTCAAAGCCTCATAGGTAACACTCATCTGATTAATCCGATGATGTTTTTACTTTTACTTGTTAAATATCCATTAGAAAAGTTGTCCAGAAGCTTTTTAGTTTATAAAGATAGGAAACAAACTAGCACGGCTGAAGACTCTCTCTCTCTCTCTCTCTATCTCTCTCTCTCTCTCTCTGTGTGTGTGTGTGTGTGTGTGTGTGTGTGTGTATCATTGTATCACTCATTCATAAAAGGTATCAAAATATATGAAACTCTATTTATGTTGTTATAACTCTTTTTCATTTTACATTACTGATATTCTAAAGTTTGCTAGGCGGCTTAGGTGCTAACAGGATGCTCGAGGGGCACTAATATAGAAGTGAATTTGCTGTAAGATTACCTGTGTTGGCCACTTCAGAGACTTCATTTAGAAACCCTGTTTCCTTAAGGCCCCGTCTTTCCAGACCTTCCTGCATTATAGGAACCAAAAGATGGGTTAGTCAGGACACTATAGCCAACGCTAATTTCTCGACAACATGACTGATTATAAGAGTGCATTTGGATGACTTGTTTTTAAAGGTTGTATTATTTGCATGAAAAAATACTTCTACTCAGAGTGTTCGACAAGGAAAAAATGCTTTTAATTACTCTCTCTGTCCCCATTTTATCGCTGTTTCGACTCAGCATGCTTTCAAGGTGAACAAAACCATTTCCTTAAAAAACAAAGAGGATACAAAAGAGAGAAGAGTGAAGATAAAAAAAAAGGGGACAAAGAGAATGTACTAAAAAACACTCACTTATAGTGCTTATATGAGAAAGCACTTCTTATTAGCACAAGTCATCCAAAACAAGATCTAACACACTTGTCTTTACTTACTTTTGCTAACTTTACCACATCTTGGGCAACATGTTTGAGCAGACCATCTCGGAATGGTGTATACAATGCGCTTGTAGGCACCTAATAGTAAAGCATCTTTTCATGTAATTTATACTCGTATATGCTACCATGCATAAATAACATAGAGACTGTCACCATTAACATTTCCATAGGAGTATTACCTTATTCCTCAACATCTCTTTTTCTTCAACAGTCCAATCTGTTGTCATGTCCACAATACTTTGTAAAGATATATCATCATACAATAGACCTGCCTGAGATTTTTTTTAAAGATGGATAAAAAAAATCAATTATTAGCTAATCAAAATCTGCAGAAATATGATCCATCCATCTGATAGAAAAGTTATGTCTGAAATTATATTTTCAGTATCAGGAACATGAGTATGAGGAGAAATGGCATCCTATAATGATAAGAAAAATCAAGGTGCATTCCTCAAAGAAGAATGTTAGTAAAACGAAGAGCATATAACATGTTACATGGTGTACGTACCAACACAGCAATTAGACATAGGCTATATTGCAACTAGATTCTTATTGAATTAGAAAATGCATGGTTGAGATATATACAAATGAATGAGAAATAACTTGAAGTATAAATATACCCTTAAATGGAAACTAGAAGAGAGAATTGGGGCATCCCAAAAAGGAAAAACAAAAGAAAATTATAGGATGGAGGGAGAACTTTTCATGCAAGAGGATAAAACTTTACTGATTGCATTTTCTTCTTTGTTAGAGTCCAACAACAGAATATGAAATAGAGGAAGATTAGTTTCATAAGAAGGAAACCACAATGAGGACATCTAACATAAAACTTTGTCATTGTATTTTATTTATATTATTGTCCACAAAATGAGACTATTATTGAAAACTAGATTTCATAGCACCAACCTCAATAATTTGGGGTAAGGTGACAATAATGATAAATTGATAATGACATACCCAAAAAGCAGGCAATGCACATAACCTTTGCCAAGGTCCTCCATCAGCGCCTCTCATTTCCATGTATCTTTTGAGCCTCACCTTTTAGAGGATAAAAAGTAAATTCCGTGGTATTAGCAAATGTATAGAACCCACATTTTTACTAACCCCTGGAGATCTGTTGTACCTCCAAAGCAAACACTGAATATAGATTGTACCTCAGGAAATATTGTTGTCAAATGATTCTCCCAGTCATTGAGTGTGGGATATTCTCCAGGTATAGGTGGCAATTTCCCTGCCATAAAGTCCTGCCAGTGCTTTAATGCTGGTTAGAATTGGAAAGATGATAGGATAATCAGTTACGACTAATAAAACTGCAAAAATTATGGATTACCCTGAAGGACATTCCACTACAATCAATGTACTGCTTATTTCGATAGACAAAATACATAGGGACATCAAGTGCATAGTCTACGTACTGCTCAAACCTGTACCAATCAAAACATAGAAACACTGAAACAAGAGACCTATGATCTCATTTTAGAAAATAAGAATCTGAGTTTTCAAAGTCCAAAAAACATGTTTTTAAAGCCAAACAGCACATGAATAAAAATCTACTACAAACCACTATTTCGTTTGAGTGACAATTCACAATAGCTAATGCTACCAGCCTACCACAATCCTCATGTTTGTAATGTTGGAATCAGGATTATAGACATGCCACCTTTTTTAGGGCAAAGATTACCATTTTGATCAATAATTCAATCAACAGCTTCATTGCCATGAACCATATATAAGATATGAAGTTTGGCCAGGAAGAAAGTAGCAAAGATATTCCATAAAAAAGTTCAAAATGATAAACAATCTTGTTGCTCCTCCTCTCACTGAACTAGATTCACAACAGTAAAATGTTATTCACAAAATATAATGTTATCTAGCACCATTTTTAAGAACAAATTCATGCTTACCCAAAGGAATCATCAAAGACAAAAGGAAGCATGCCCGTACGATTCTTATCTGTGTCCGTCCAGGCGTAGCTGGTGAAACGGGAGAAAAAGTGCTACTTAACAACATTTTTTATTGTATAGTCTATTTTTTGCTCAAGAAACATAAATCAAAACTGCCATCTTCATACCTTCTCACACTGAGATAACCATTAGGTTTTCCTTCTGTAAAAGGTGAATTTGCAAACAAAGCTGTAGCAATCTGTCACATCATCTAGTTAGATAGTTTAGACCTAAATATAACAGCTACCAAGAAGTCAAGAAATTCATGAAAAACAGAAATGAAATTGAGATATCTCACAGGCTGCAATGAAAGACTTGCACGAAACTTGTTTATCATGTCAGCTTCAGAACTGAAGTCTAAATTCACCTGACATAAAACAATTATATGAATCGTGCTTGAAATTCAGCATAGGCATACATTATCAGGTAGATGTACACAACGGAATAGAAGGTGAGTAAATTAAAACTGTGGAAAGCACACAAAGCAGACAACAGATAGAAATCCCATACTTGAACTGTACACGTTCTAAACATGGTTTCATGTCCAAGTGAGCCGACATTTGGCATATAGTTTCTCATGATCTCGCATCTCGCCTGGTTCAAGCGAAAGAGGAAAATTAACGTAAGCAACAGCTAATCAAATAGTACAGCAGGCCCACTTGACAGAGCAAAATAGTACTCTACGTCCTAAAAAGATATGCTCAGTTTATACAAAGGAGAGAAACACTATGAGTTACATGAAAATTTCCAAAAATAGAACAAGTGAAATCTTTCTGGGCAAACGGAAAAGGAAAACAAATAAGTCTTTTTGGAATATAGGAAGTACTTGTTGTTGAGAAGACATTGTGTAGCAATTCTTAAGACAATTTATCATTCCAATAACAAATTATACTTTATGTGTTCCTACATACTCCGAAGTATCTATTTAGATGTCTATGTTGAGTTGAGCACTTATCTTTGTTTATTTTGACCCGTCCAATAATGATATCTATGCACAATAATTGTGTTTTCCCTAATTTACCCTTTTACACAATTCAATACTATTTCCCTAGATGGAACATAAATGAGAGTGTCATTTAATGACGCCAATTTAGAAAAGCACTTGATAATTCAATTAATTTATCACCTCAATAGGATTCATAAAATGTGTGATTTTCTCAAACTAGACTGATAGATAGGAACAAAGAGAGTATCGATTAATTTCTTGATCATATTTCTTCAAGATATTATAAGCAAAACACTCTACCTTTGGCATTACTGGTATATCTTTTAGCCCCCATTTTGGTTGGAATCCAATTCCAAGAAATCCAATTCCCATCTCCTTTGCAACAGCCTTTACCTGTGACATTTATAGCATGGGTATGAACATAGGGTGCATGATACAAAGAAAAAACAAGGATATCGACACATGACCTCAGGCCTAGAATATTTTTTATTGGTTCCCAACCCCCATTGATTTGGAATTAAGGTTTGGTTGATGTTGTATTTATGTGGCTTTGGGATGAGCAATAAAGTTTATAGTTCCCTACAACCTTAAATATCTGTTTTTTTTTCTCGCACACCGGGTGGGGAATAGAAGAGAGTAATGCATGCTACATGTATTAAATATGCTTACTGTTGAGCATTTACACTTATCATTTTTGTGGATTTATATTGAAACAGTAAATGGCAGTATGGGATTTTACCACCTGACTACCATATCAGACCAATGTAACAAAATGGTATTTTGGTATACCTGGTAAAGATGTGCATTAACTTCGGCACAAGTTTGATGAAGAGTTTCAAGTGGTGCACCACTAAGCTCAAATTGACCACCGGCCTCCAGTGATATGCTTTGATTTCCCTGCAAATAGGTAACATACTAATATTGAACCACATTTTTAATTAACTAACTTTTTTTTTGGAAGGGGGGGGGGAGGAGCATCATTAATTTCCATATTTCATGAAGTATTGCCAGAAATTCGCAAGTGAAATAAATGGATGACAATGAATTCAGCATGTTGAGCTAATTAACCAGGTGCTGTTGTGTTTAGTAGTAATGTTAAAAGAAACAAAGTTCAAACTCAAAGTGTGTTGGAGATCCGAAATAACAATTCAAATATCAAAACACCTGTTTCAGTCCAATAATTTTGTCGCCTTCCATTATTTTATCCCAATCAAATCTCTCAGCAATGCCATTAAGCAAGTCAACTATTTGGTCATACTTCATGGGCCGCAAAGTATCAAGCTCGAACCCAAACTTTTCATGCTCAGTACCTATCCTACACAGCCAAGATTGAAGAAAAAGAGAATTGGGACACTGAACACCAGAAGTATCGTACAATTTCCAATATCTAATAACGTATCCAAAAAATTATCAGTAAATCAGTTATCCTATGCATGTTACTCCCTCCGTTCCAAAATAAATTTCTCACTTTCCTTTTTTGGGTGTTAAAAATAAACTTTTACACTTCGCCTTTTTTCTATTTAAGAATGAAACATGTGGCTCACAATCTTTATCACTCCACTTATTAAATTTCAATGACTCCTTTTTTAACACTTTTTAAACTCCGTGAAGTCAAACACCAAACGGAAAAGGGTATATTTTGAGAAGACAAAATGTGAACCTCCAGTTTTCCTTTGTCTTGCATCCAGAAGCAAGATATCCAACAAGGTCTTCTTTCATTAAAGGCTCAGTGGTCCTAACAAGATCCTCTGTTGCAGGACTTGCAGCAACAATCAACCTGTATCCTCTCATAGATCCTCCTCCACCACAACCCAAATGCACTTGCTGCATTCTCTTTGAGAAACTCAGTGAAGAGGAACAAAAACCAACACTGGTCTCGTTTGTTTTGAGCATTCCCTTATTCTTCATGACACTGCAACATTCAATCATTTCGCAATGCATGCTATATGATGACCCAAACCGGGATGCCAACACCATACTTTTCCTGAAAATTAATCAGACTGTAAAATGAATATATTATATATTAGGCTAAACTCCATCATTATTCCTTCAACTATATCAATTGTGCACGATTGGTCCTTTAAGTTTTAAAAGTCCATAAATAGTCCTTCAACTTTATGAGTTATGCAGGATTGGTCCTTCAAGTTTTAAAAGTGCATAAGTAGTCCTTCAAGTACACGTCAGCCCTCCAGATGAGGTCCTTTTGACAGTAAATGTTAAAAGCTAAATGGAATACTAGCTCCATATAATACGGAGTAGTCGTACCTAGTGGAATTTACTCGTATTATATGAAACTAGTATTTCGTCTAAATTTTAATATTTACTGTCAAAAGGACTTCATCTGGGGGGCTGACGTGTACATGAAGAACTACTTATGGACTTTTGAAACTTGAAGGGCCAATGGTGTAGAACTCATAAAGTTGAAGGACTATTTATGGACTTTTGAAACTTGAAGGACTAATCATGCACAATTGATACAGTTGAAGAACCAATGGGTGGATTTTAGCCTATATATTACTAGGATGACGAAAAAAACTAGGATGGGACAAGAAAACAAAGACACATTAATAGATCAGAATCAAATGTTCATATACTGTCAAATGATGGAATGTCGAGGCAAAGCATGTTAGATGCACCATGAATCGCCATTATTTTTTCATATGTGAATACTTAGTTCATTGAAAGGCACCGTATAAATGCACTGAAGTGAACATTCAAATTGTAAAAAATATAAAACTGAATAAACAAGGATCTGAAGTTAATTCCTATGGGCCCAACTAAAAATGTGAAACACTCATTCATCAAGGGATTGAATACAGAAGCCTTTATATGATTAACTATTTCCTCACCTTCAGAAGCACTACGAGTCGTCCCATGACGAAAGAGATGTGCATTGTTTGAAATCGCGAATCGGATAGCCCGATTTTGGCCGGAAATGAGACGGATCTTTCAGATCCGTATAGGTTTCCGGCTGCCGGAGCTTCCAGTGAAGCTCGGAAACTATTGACATCGCCGGGAACGGAATTAGATTGACTATGCGAGACGGTAACATCCGACTTCTCATGCTCGATTTCTCAAACAAACTGAACAAGTCTCGATTTGTCTCTGAAACCCTTCTCCCCACATCCCCTAATTTTCTTCAGGTTTTCTTCCCTGAATCGAGAAAATGGAGGTGGGAGGCGGTAACGGTCAACTACCGTCCACTGTTCTTTTGGGTTCCGTTCAACCAGAACCGCCGGTTTTTTAATAGACTCAAATTAAAGTATAAATAAAATGAAAAACCCCACCAAAAAAACAAAAAAAAACAATACAAGTTGTTATAAGCTCTGGTACTAAAAAAAATAAGATTTTGTCCTTTCGAAAAAAATTAAAAGCTCTAGTAAAAAAAAATTAATGTTTTGTTTCAACTTATTTGTCTTAGTTTGACTTATTTGATAAATTTAATCATAAATTCTAAGAAAGTACGGAGTAATATTTAATTATAATTTAAATTTATTATAACTTCATTTGTTTTAAGATGTGGTTTTGATATATAAAATTCTTATAACTTTAATTTATTTAAAATAATATTTAAATTATGATCAAAATTAGAATAGAAGTCCAACGCTCAAACTAGAACAAATAATTTGGAACGGATGAAGCAAAAAAAAGCCATTGAAGAGTAGGTCTGGCATTAAAATAATAAAGTAAAATACTTCAATTCTAAAAATCCTCATTTCTTTTGAAATTAAAGATGTAATTGAAACTAATTACTGGATATTTATGTACAAGAGAGTAATAATATGAAATATGCAATTATTTTTTCAAAGTAAAGTGATGATAAAACAACTTGGCATAACATGCATATACGCAATATATACCGTATAAGCGGTTGTATGATGTTTCATATACATTTGTGGCAAGTACACATTCACAAACAACTGAATACTCATTTTTGAGTAATTGAATAATCATTTTTTTAAATTCAGTTATGCTTGAATTTATATGAGTATTCAAATTACTCGAAAATAAATACTCAGTTACTCGAAAATGAATATTCATGTGGATGTATAGAAAACACCATACATTATGCGGATGTATAGTATACATACTACATGCATATGTGGTTCACAATATCGATAATTATTTACTTTATCGATACAATTTCTAGTCTGAAATTATATAATGCCTATAGACATACATTTCTATATAAGGAGCATTTACGCAATTGCACGATATTTTGTCTTTATTTTTGCAAAATTCAATTTTGATTAACACTTTCCATAAAATAGAAGAGGAAGTAAGAATTGACCTTGGATCCAGCAACCAAACAGGGAAGAAGAACTCTAGTGGTTTCTATATATATATATAGGGGGAATTCAGGTGAGAATGCACCTTGGTGAAAGAAATAAGAATAAAATCTAACTTTTGGATTTGATGCATCGTGCGGCTCAGATTACATCCTGCACTCAGATTTTGGGATGGTGCATTTTTGAAGGATTTTAGTGCATTTCGACATGATGCATTTTTAGATCATTTTGGTGCACCTAATTTTGATGCAATCCTGACCCTTAGATTTCACAATCCAAAGCACCAGATTCATTTTTATTTCTTTCATAAGATTGCATTCTCACTTGAACCAATATATATATATATATATACATACACATACATACATACATACATATACATACATATATACATACATACGTGTGTATATATATATATATACATACATACTCCCTCTGTCCACCATACATCTTTCCAGACATTATTCACAGTGTCAAACTTTACTCACTTTGTTTTGCTCAATTTTACTAGTCATTTCATAAAATAATATAATCTTGTCACCTCTAGTTTTCTAGAACTTTTCATGTAGTTTATTACTATATAAATTTTATTTTAAAATTTTACTCCTATAATCAATTAAATTGAATTGAAAATAAAGTCGGTCAAGCCTCGTAACGCGTAATGGGAAGATCATACATGGACAGAGGGAGTATATAACAAATGGATGTAAAAATTGTGGACTTGAGAATATCTAAATGGGAAAAGATTCTTTGACACACATGTGTGTCTCTATCGATGTAAATAATTATATACTAATACATTTAAATGTGATTGTTAGATGTATTATATATTTCGTACTTATGTCATTCTAAGAAATCATATATATCAAGTTATATACTCTTTACATATGTCATTTTCCTCAACTTATTCATTGGTTGTGATGATATATATTCCCACTTCAATCAATTCCCATTTGATTGATCTCCATTTAAATGCTAGGCTATAGTATATGGAGTATAAATATAGAATGTTAAAAACACACTAATGACAAATAGGTCCCGTTTGTTTGGTACATGGAATTCAAATTATGGAATTGGAATTAGAGACTCTAATTCCAATTCTGGTGTTTGGTAGCACAAAAATTATGTGGATTTGGAATTGATAGTGCAAAAAATGAATTAAAATTGACAGAATTCAATTCTATAGAATTGAATCCTATGAAATTTCAATTCCAATTCCACCAATTCCCTATACCAAACGGACCCATGGTATTCTTTCAATTGCCTATAAATAAACGTTTAGTAAGTTAACAATTTCATGGGCCTGTTTGGGAATAGCGTTAGAGATTAGCGTTAGCGTTTTGGATAAAATTTTAACGGTGCAGATTAATTTGAAAACGCTAACGCTAATCTCTAACGCTATTCCCAAACATGCCCCAAAAATTAATCTACCATGTCCCATGCACATAGGTTTTAGCTCTGCTTGATTCAATTTTAGACTTTAACTTCAACATTTCATAAATGTGGTTTTTAAATTTTACTACATCATTCTACAATTTATTTAAAATGTTAACGTTTATTGCATATCTTATTCGAAAAACGAAGCCTTTGTAAGTGAAAGAATTCATTTGAAAAAGTGAAGATACATAAAAGTAAACATTAGCGTAAGAATTTAATAATGATAAGGAGTAGGGATTATTATATTCTCAATTTTTTTATAGTGATAGTTTATTCTTTTTTGGTAACCAAATTAAGATGAAAGAATAAAGTTTTGAAAGTTTAATGCCCTCTTAATTAGAGTATCTTACATCAAGCTTACATCATTTTGAATTTTACAAACAAATTTTCTATTTTGTTGTACCTTGTATGTTTTGTTCTAAATTTTGATTGTAAAATAAATTTATTATAAATGTGGTATGCATCTACAAACAAGATCTTTTGACCTTGGAATCCCAAGTCTTACTATGACTTGGACACCTATGGTGCTCCGTTGGTAAAATTGATGATTCTTACTCCTTAACTCCCCTACCCCTAGCATAGCACCCCTGTTATCTTCTCAGTTTTGCTGATTGACTACAGTAAATATTGTAGCCAATCAACAAAATAGGAAGGGGATGGCAGGGGAATTAAGGGGTTAGGACCATTAATTTTACCAACGGAGCACTGTTGGTGTCTTGAGTCATAATATGACTCAAGTGCCCATATTCCAAGGTCAAAAGAGTCATTTTCATTCATATAATAACTTTTAAAAAAAAATCACTAGTCTAAAAGCATTTTCCCACGAAACTTCTGAAAGAAGCTCTGTACAATACAGTGTAACACATCACAAATCTCAAATCATTTGGCATAATAAGGTTTTATAGAGGTGTCTTGTGCCTACCTTTGGTATTTATTCATTTAGAAAGTAGGTTTTGGAGGGTTACCTTTCAAACTTGAAAAAAACTAAGAATATGAAAAGGAGAGGAGAATATAGTGCGGAGAAATATTTTAATACTTCATTCTCAAATAAAGAGTTATAACGAAGGCTTTTAAATAAAAAAATATTTAAAAATTGGTAAAAAAATAAAACTTACTTGTACATATTTATAAATGATCTTGTATACGGAGTAATAGATATTTGTCTACATTTAATCCTAATTCTAAGCTATTACATTTGTGATTCTCAATTCTTAAATATTATTTCATAATTATTTGGGTACTACACGTGAGAAAAACAATATCTGATCATATTTGGCCTAGAGAATCAATTATAGATCAATTTTCAAAAATTGATCACGAATAAAAAATTTTAAAATTGTAAATTAAATATAGAAAACCAACTGTTTTAAGAGATTATTTGTGCATTTTATTATATTTAAAACTACAATTAGAAGCTCTATAAAAGAAGAAATGACAGTACTACTTTATTCTATCAAATGATCAATAAGAATGCTAGATTAAACAAAAATTATCGTGACCTTGAAATAGTAAATTAAGAATTTGGAACTAAGGATGATAGCATCAATTTGGTACAAAGGAAGTAACAAATACTTTTACCATAACTTCTTAAAGAGGTAAAATAATCAGCCAGGTAAAGTAACAAACAGCTAACACAATAGCAGCCAAACAAATAATGCAACTCAGAAAACCGGATCCGAATAGAGATCCGGCCGAACCTCATTTATTTTAGTACTATTCAATACACCAGCTCTGTTTGGCTGTATGCACAGAATTTGTTCAGAAAGTTGAAAAATTGTTGCATTACAAATGTAAACACCAAACAGGGCATAAACAGATTCTCTGTTATCCTCAATAAAGCAGCTCCTCAAAAACAGGATCAACATTCTGTTCCCACTTACCATAGTACAGATCCAGGAGCTTCTCCGCGGGTGTAACGCCTAAAAAGAAAGTTAAAATCGTGTTTTTGAATCAAGCCGATAGAATGTTTCAAAAACCAAATAGGTTGATCAAACCATAAATAGCTAGGATTTTTGCAAAATAATTTAAAAACCACAAATTTATGGGGCAGAGGAGGGAGCATTTGTATATGATAAATTCAGTTAAACAAATAAACTGATAAATGATTTAATTGAGTTCTACCCAGCCAAAACATGAGTAAATGACTTTTTTGTTTAGACTTTTTCTATACCAGTAAAAGACAAATGGATAAGTTAAGTTTTTTAAAGTTAGTCAAAAGGTTAAGTTTTTTTTAAAAAAAAATTGATGATAACTGGGACGTCCAACACGAAAACAATATTAATGATACACTTGCCTAAGATAAGGCG